AGAGAGAGAGAGAGAGAGAGAGAGAGAGAGAGAGAGAGAGAGAGAAATAAGTGTGTTGGAGTGTGCTTGCCATCACCAGTGGGCTTCGCCGTGATTGAAAAATTTCTCATTAGCTCGCCATCGAGCGTTAAGAGCCCGGTGTATGATTAACTCGGCTCAGTTGTTGGCCACCCTCATGACCCCTTTGTGTGTTTTGTTTTTTGAGATTTGATTTCCATCAAGACTGTGCACGCAGCGGAGACTGTACGTTGTTTTTTTTATTGTCTTCCTTTTGATTTGTGCAACATTTATTTCTATGTATCCTGCATTGGTCCCTGTCTAATTGAGCATCTCTGGGTTTTGACACATTCATGTGTTTGTGCTGGTATTGCGTGCAGGTGTGATGCATCAGTGTGTGTGAGAGAGAGGTTGCACAGCGATAAAAGATGGCGTTAAGGGGCGGTGAAACTCTGAAAGACGCCCCAGGGAGCCTCTTTTAAGGTTGCTGCGCTCTGCAGCGACCACAATACCAATGAACCACTCCCTGTTCAGCCACAGCACAGTGCTGGAAGACGCACCGGTTCACATGCTGAGCGTGTGTGTGAGACTGTGCATGTGTGTGTGAGTGTGCGCGCGTCCTAAGGTGTGTTTTTAAGCTGCTGAGTACCAATCAAATGTAGACGCTTCCCTGCATCTGTCAAAACTTTTTTTTTTTGCAGTGCATAGCCATTAGCATTTGCAAGACAAGTCTCCTGCACACACACACACACACAGAGGCTCAGTGTGAAGTCCCGAAGCCCGCTCAGCAGCTCCGGTCATAAAACCTGGAGTGCCGACGGCCGGACTCACGCTGTCGGAACAACTTTTTCACTCTGCGTGCGTTTATAGCTGCAGGACCAGCACCGGATCACAGAGCTGCCCCCCCTATTTTTTTTCAGACATTTAGCCGGCGCTTTTATTCGCGGCGGCTCGAATTTGGCACCGCTTTCGCAAATCCAGAGCCACAGCAGCGAGACGACGGTCCCGCGGTCACGCCAGAGGAGGGAAGCAGGAGGGTAACGATAAGAGGGGGAAAAAGATGGAAGCTGTCTAGAGAGCGCCAACGCGCGGTGCTAAATTACCGCCCACAAACTGCGTGTCCTACGTTGTGTACTCTCCAGATGTAAGTAATTATAGAAATGACATCAACATTGATGGATGAGTCATGCCTCGGGCCTCGCACTCGTCCGTCTGCCAGCGCCAGGGAGAGATGCGACAGCCTGAAGAGGACGTTTTTCCCCCTCACAAAATTTGCTGAAATGCCAAACGGCAGTCGGAGAACTCAACATTAAGCGGTCCTGTTTAGGTCACTCGTGGTGATCGTGGTTGGTCAGGGCCGCTAAAAGCACCAAATGGCGCCACGTCGCTGCCAAGGCCCCCGGCTGCTGCTCCCAACACAGAGCCGGAGATTTTACGGGAGGAGGGAGAGTGTTCCAGTGTAAACTACGGATGCACCGATATTGATATCAGGCCGATACTGACTCGCACGGCTGGATCGCATATCGGTAAAATGGGGCCGATCTATGCGACTCCATTTTATGTTTATACGTTATATACTGTGATTTGAACTCCTGCTCATTTTGAAGTTGTTGGTTCGCGACTTTATTTGTTTAAGGATAAATAACAATTCAGTAAATTTGTATCGATGTTTCGTTACAATGTTTAAGTGGAGCCTTATGAAAGAATGATCGGTGTCACTTCCACACAATGAGGCCTACAGCTTGTTAATCAAACACCGTTATCGGGTCGGTACTCGGTATCGACCCGATACCCAAATATCGGCTTCGGGACCTGAACAGTCAGATCGTTGCCTCGCTACACTAAAGCAGTTTGGGGTTTGGACTGCTGGTCAAACAAAACAACACATTTAGAGATGCCACCCAAAGAAAGCACTGCAGTTCAGCTGGAGGGGAATTTGCTAGAAAATAAGATCTTGTTCGCCGGGCGATTTATGTGCCACCAAATGGCAGAGGATTTTTGAGCTGAGAAATGCCCCCCGCCGCTCCCTGAATTCCTAATGCTCAAGGTTTTTTTCTTTTTTTTACGAGGCTGGCGGGGGGGTGCCTCCTCCCGTTGCCTCAGCCGCACTCCCATCTCTGCGCTCATCAATTATTCATGGCGCACAGGCACGCACAGTCCCAGAAATACACACTCCCAACTTTTTATTTTTGCTCCGACGCACAGATATCTCAAAGAGTTGCTGACGTCCAGAGCCCCCGCTGTCAGTCTGCTCGACCCCGAGGGTCGGTGCGCCCCCCTGACCTCTCCGACCCGGCTAACCCCCCGTGCCTCTCTCGCCCGCAGGTCAGCAGGGGTCATGAGGGCGTCGGAGGCCCCGGTTGCCGTTCAGAGCAGCTGAAGCAGACATGGGCAGAGAAGTCTCAAATGGCACCGGCAGGCTCAGCCTCATCGACCTCACCAGCAGCATCCTCCTTCGCCGCGACCACCACTGGCTACGCAACAAGTACGTCACCCTCTTTACTTCTGTTTGTCAAGAATAGGCAGTGAGACGCTCATTTCCTTTAAACCTACCCCATTAATTTCTCACCTGATCTTATTCCCCAAAAGCACATAGAGCCCTTTTCCCCACCAGTAGTACAATGTTATCAATAAAATAGTTTGATCAAAAATAACCAATACCCAAACAAACGTTTTCAGCCTTAAGACCAGCATAGTAATGCCGAGGACTCCGCTAGAAGCACAGTGATAAAGTGTTTCTCAAATAAATGTGCTGTAAATGGAGAAAACTTTGTCTAATGTTAATGGCAGCCAAGCGTTAAATTTCAAACTAGTTTACAGTAATGGTTTGTGTATCTTCAAACTAATGGTTTGTGTTCGCATTATCGCATCATGAAAGCAAATAGCTATCATTACATGATATATTCCACGGTATGACATCACAATATTAAGGGAGAGAGATATATATATAAGAAAAATGTGGTGATGTCCGTTTTCCGTCTCCCTCATAAGAGACCAATTTACGGCTCCTTTTTTAAATTCCCAGCCGTTCCCTTAATGCAACGCTGAGGATCAAATGATGATCTAGATTACTCATGCAGCCAAAAACATCAGGGATTCTGAACAGGCACGCGGCGCAATTACCTCCGCCGCGAGGGACGAGACGGCGAAGTCGGAATGCATCAAAGTCTGGAGCCAAATTTAGTCCGACGCTCCGGTCCCGTGATGAAATAATGTGCGTCGGAAGAATGAATGATTCGGCGACGGAGAAAACGGCGATCCGTCACAAGGCCCGGCTCTTGGAAAGAAAAGAAATATAAATATATATCTGTATATCTGTCCCAAAATTGCAAATCTTCACTCGAGAGACTCCACTCATCAAAATGTCAGCGCCAGACACTAAATATTCAAAGGCAGCGCGCGGCACTCTGGAGTATTAAGCTGTTTTTCCTCTCCGAATGTAAAAATAATGTAAAGCAGCAGCAGCCGGCGTTGCTTTTTGTCAAACCCTCTGACAGGTCATTGAGATTCAACATCTGACTCTCCCGGTGCCCAGCTGCATTTCGGCTAACCTCTTAGCCTCTCGCGGCATTGGGTTAGCGGCGCATTCGCACGGCGGAAGAGCGGCGGAGAGCGGCCCACAAGTCAATTACTCCCACGTAGAGGGAAATCTGGAATGCTCGCCGTCTCAGCCCCTTTTGGGACGGAGGTAAACTATCGCGTCTCGGCCGGCCCCGATTTGCCGCTCGCAGATCACATGTGGGGGAAAATGGCCTCCGATCACTGCCGGGCAAAAGCGAGTCGAGGCCCCCGCTAAATTGGTGAGGGGCAAGAAACGCACCGGTTGAGCACAGAGCAGGCGCTGTCATGTGCGTTTCCAGGTTTGATGTGAATTCCGACGAGCCCGTTTCTAATTAACCTATTAATCATAGCTCTCATGTAGCAGATGTCAGCCCCTCCCTCCGCGTGTCTGTGCGTGTGTTTTCGCTACGTGGGGGCCCGACTGCATAATGAGGGCACATCAGCAGGATGTGCTCGCACCACGACTTCAACGCACGGAGGCCATGGCATTGCACAATTGTTTCACGCAGCGGGCCATAGGTGCAAAGCCGCTAATGTTAATGTTATTTTCTTTTTTTTTATTTTCTTTTTTTTTATTTTTAACTCGCCCCAGAATTAACTTCTCAATGTTTGAACCCGAGTCATTAAATCATCCGTAGTCAAGAGTGCAATGTGCATGCTTGAGCTGCTCTTCTTCTTCGGTAAAATCAGAAAGTGGACCCATTCACCTTTGGGTCCTCCCGCCTTTACATACTGTGTGCTGGTAATTCACGTTCTTTGGACTACTGCACCCAAAAATTCAATTGGAAACGTTGCCTTTGCGACTTCAAGCTAATGAAAACACACTTTTAAAATATACCTTTTGTATAGTTAAAAATGATTTAGGCTCTTCCACATTTTTGCTGTGAAAGCTTAATATTAAAGGATTTTGTTACCAAATTTAGTTTAATACTAAATCAAACCTTTTAATATGGTTTAGTAGGAGTGTTTCCGTCTTTTAAGGCCTTTACACATTGGGGGCGTTTTAAAAAAAAACAAATTTTTATTCACACGTCAATATGTTGTTTTTTTTAACTGTTTTTGTCATGAATATTTTCTCACACAACGCCAAAACGCTACATGGTCGATATTTCTGAGCTTTCGCACTTCCAATGAACAAATTTCAAACTTCATTTTCCAATTGTTGGTGCTCCAAAATAAACCGCTTGAAGGCGGTTGGGTGCAGCTCTTGACCCTCCCCGCCTCCTTCCGATACTTCCAAACATCGATGTCAAAGGTTTATTTTGAATGGAGACCCGACGCTGCAACCCAAAGCTGTCTCACTGGACAGTAACTGTGCCCCCCCTGCTGTGTCTTGTCCAATCGCGTCCATTGTCTGAGCAGCTGCAGAGCTGTGAGACTGACAGAAAGGAGTGACTGATGATCACAGGCTGTGTGGATGACACAAACCGCCCCTCTCCTCCTCCTCCCTAGCCTGCCGGGCGACTTCATAGACCTTCCTCTCGGCGCACATCGAGTTTCCCCGTCAGTGAAGATCGTTAGTCGCACCTGTGTTTCCACCGCCACGACAACTCTAAATGGCCGCTATGAAATCATTAGTCGGGCGGCTCCGTGGGAAATTGCCGCCTGCACACGTGTGCTGCAAGTCATTCCCGCTATTACCGCTGCAGTGTTGTGGCTTGCTCTTTCCAAATAAAACCCGTGAGAAAAATGATACGGAGCGCGCCGCAGATGAAGAGCAGGTGCTTTGCTGTGGGCCTGATTTAATGATGCACCTTGAACAAGTAAGTTTGATTTATTACTTTATGGAAGAATAGCTTATTTCATGTCAAGTTTATCGTCTATTTTTACTTTTCTAGACCTTAATGTCATTGTAATACCTCATATATACACTATACCTTTAATGTAGGCCTGTGTTATTGTATGTAATGATTATGGTGTTGCTTCCTACTGTACAGTATCCACAGATAGTTTGAAGTTGCTTACGAACTGTTTCTTTTACACCATGTAGAAAAGAAGGGTGAGGACAGTGACTGGAGGATTCCACAGCCGTTGGACACACCCAGGATTCTCAGTGTTATAGTGTTTATGTATATTTCTGAATGTACAAAGCAATTTAGTTATTTGTGTAAAAATAAAATACTACAACTAGTGAAAAGGTGTATTATTGTGTTGGTATATGCATTCAAGCCTCATCTTAGTCAAAGAAAAGTAACTCTTTTTGTCTAGTTTTAGTCAATGACATGGAAAAAAAGGTCGTTGACGAACATGTTAATAGTTTTCGTTAACGGAATAAACACTGACCCATATCAAATCTTTTATTATTATTATTACACGCACACTTAACTTATTTAAGATCTTTAAAATTATTTTTTTCAATGAATCATGACCGATGTATGTACAGTGTGGAATACTTCTAGAATGACTTTGACTTTGCTCTCTGGTGGGCAAGCTATGTTCATCTGTACCGACGTATTCATTAAAATATCGGCTACAAGCTAATCTCCAATTAAAAACTACTTGACTGTCTCAAAATAATATTTGGTCTCTCCAATTGTCCATTTTGGAGCGCAGCTTCCCCTAACATGCAACCAATCTAAACGTTTTGTCATCTTCTTGTAATTCCTCAAAGAAAACGTCCCTCGCGGACATTCCTCCCGTCTCTTTCAGGTTCTCCGCATTCGCCAGCCTCTCCCAGTAAGACTTTGCAATGAGAATGTCCGACACAGCCGACACTGAAACAATGAAGGTTTCCGAAGCCGCCGACGCGCCCCCGCCCCCGAAGGACAACGCCTCCAACTCTGAGATCGCCGACCAGAGCCAGAGCGGCCGAGACGGACACGGCAGCAACAACAACAGGGACGCACAGGTAAAGAACTGAATGAGGTTGATGTCCACACCGACCGGTATAGACTCGATCGAAACTTGACTTCATATCGTTTTTTAAGCGTTTTCCTTCACCCGTGACATAGTCATTTACTCAGGGAGGTTAGAGGAGCAGGAGTGATTTTCACTCTTTCCTCCACACTCGTCTCCATGAAAATTCAGCAACCGTCAACGTCAAGCACAAACTGCCCCGGGGATCTCCTGTCACCCGCGGCGTTCAAGACGGATTTTCTCGGCAGCTTCGGCTATTATAATATTATTATTCCCCGGAAAAGCATAACTGCACGGACTGAAGATAATAATGCGGGGGCTTGACTCTGCCTCGCGAAGGTCGGCCACTACCGAAACCCGAATGTGGTAAAAGAGCATTAGGTCGTGGAAACTGGTGAATCTCATTTATCCTCCGCGGGAGACGGTAAAGCGGCGGATCTACCGGGGGGGGGGGATTCAGGGCACCTGAGATCACTTTCAAATAAACTGCTAATTAATTAGGTCTCTTTGTCATTGCAGTGAATGTGCTTTGGGACCGTGGGCAAATTTGCACTTTTTAATTTGCCCTTTTCAAGTGAAGAGGTTTGCGCTCACAGGTGGCGAAAACGACGCGCAATGCCTCCCGGGTGAGGAAATCCAGGAAAAGGGAGAAGGATTTTGTCTTTTGGTCACAGCCTAAAAATAGGATGCAGGCCAATCTGACCCTCGTGGTTGGAAGGGAGAAGTCAGAGCGAGGGAGACGGGCAGGCAGATAATCTGGAGCTCAAATCCTGGCTTATCTACCGACTTCCTGCGTCTACGTTACCCCCGGGCGAGGAACAGAATGACAGCAGTATGGGGGGGAGGGAGGGGGAGAGATGGGACGAGGGATCAAGGAGAAGAGGAAGGTGAGAAAGCAGGAGGGGACGCGGTATTGAGGAATGAAGGGGGAGGGAAGAATGAAGCATGAAGGTGGCAGTCATTTTAAAGGTGCATCCATCCAGAACAGCAGGAGCAGAAAGGGAGCTTACCTTTACACTACATTACGTTTGTTGGATGAAATAACACAATCCTCCTATTGGAAATATATAAAGTTGACTTCGTAAGCAATAAAACGCACCATTGCTCAATTCAATACACTCAGGCGTTTTGCTGCTGCAGCCTTACTTAGTCTGGTATGACCAGTAGATTAAAGGGGCTAATGATAGCAGATATTGACGTTTAAATGACTACACCGAGCTGGCTTTACGGCACCCGCGGGGCTGTGACACTACGGTTTGGCCTATCGATGTCGTCTTTGAGAGGAACAGTTTGACAATGCACCGGGAGCTGCTCCGCGAAGCTACAGCCAGCTCCCGATTAGCTTAGCATAAAGTCTGAGAGACATTAGATTGGTGTCGATCTTCTTATCAAGCAAATTGAGGCGATATTCAGAAACGATTGGACCGTAATTTCCACTTGTGGCAACAGTGGCTGCTGTTTAGCAAAAACGGCATCTCCCCCATTTTAGAAAACAAATAAGATTTGAGTTTTTGGTCAAACTTTACACCAAGCAAGTCGCCCTTTTCCTCAATTCTCACCCCCTAAAGCTAAATCTCTGTCCCTCTCCTTTGAACATCTCACCTTAAATCGACTTCGCATGCACCCCTGTCTCCTCCTCCTCATGTTTTTCGTGACCTCTTCAAATGTAGACCTCTTCTTCTGCCCCTTTTCCCTCAAAACTCACCCTCCGCGGTCACACGGGGATATACGCCGCAGAGACACGCCGATGCTCCTGACCTCTTCCCACTCGTCATTTTTCGCAGTGGCGGAGGAGCCGAAGTTAATTCCGACGCGTCAGTGTAAGGGCACTGGTTAAATGCCTGAAATGTCAAGAAATAGAGGAGGTAAGAAACGGGGGAGGGAGGGGGGAGCGGCGGTAGGTGACACATGGAAAAGCATTCAGAGAGAGAGAGAGAGAGAGAGAGAGAGAGAGAGAGAGAGAGAGAGA